AACTCATATTTCATCATTCACAGCAGTGAGCTGATGTCATTTAGGTTAGAAAAACTACCCCGAAAACTCCAAGTTTTACTGGAAATTTAAACAAACATAGAATAATTGTAAGATTTGTGACCAGTGCTGCAGACTCTAAAAATCCCCTAACATGCAATAAGCCCCAATTGAAGAAAATAAATGTAGGAATGCCTGAACGAATAGCAATTGATATTCAAGGGACCTTCCCATAAATCTAAACGTGCTGTTCAAATATTCCTTGATAGGAGACTATTTTCCAAATGGAAGATGCCACCCCTCAAAAAAACTTAAATCAAATACGTAGCTTCAAAGTTAGTAAACAAATTTTTTCAATTTTGGCGTACCCTTTTAGAGAAAATGGACCCATTTGAATCCAAGATTTTTCAAGAACATGTAAAAATCTTTAGGTTACACAAACACGAACAACTGCCGCTCGACCATATCTGATGGGCATGATAGAACGCGCCAATCGACCTAGAAAATATGTTGGCGCTTATGTTACTGGAATCAACTTGATGGTGTTTCACACTTACCTTTACAATTTTTAGGCATATAATAATGTTCACGAAATACAGGTGTTTCCCCCTTTGCCTGATGTTTGGCCGACAAGTTAATCTCCCCATAGATCTTTAAATGGGGGAACCTGTAGAGAATAAAAGAGAAAAACTATAACTTATGTTTTATGAATTAGAAAAACGTTAAATTTGAAATACACAATTTGCTCGGTCAAGGCTTGATTCCTCAAGTTTACCAAATGAAGAAAAATATGACGAATTACTTATTATCACCCATAGGAAAGAAGGTGTATAGTCTGGTACCATGATCCCAGACGTACAAAAGGTAAAAGTCCAAAACAGTAGGCCATGGACTGGACCTATTGGTTATTGTGAAGAAAATAAATGACTGCCTATTCAAAATACAAACAACGCTCGGAACCTCAACCCTAGACCATGACCGACTAAACCATATAATGGAGATTGACAAGCCAAACCTGGTTCACACCAAAACTTATAATTGTTCAAATCATATTTTACTTTTTATAATTTCCGGTATTTACTTCTTATATTGTTCAACCGATTTATCCAAGAACAAATAATATGAACCTGCTTACCTACTATATACCTATTAAATCACCACTTTCCTTATACACAAAAAAGTCTTCTAGGAAATGCCTGAAACAAGAATCAATTTAGAAAGTTATAATTTTCTTACAGCTGCCAAGTACCAACAGATTTGACATTAATACAAAAATTGATACAAATAAGCAATGTTGACATATCAGTAAAATGTATACCTTGTTGTTTCAGTCTACATCCGAATGGGCCTGCAAATTGTGCCGAATCCACCACGGTTATTCAGATACAGTTCTGATTGCAGGAGACATCTGGTGAGCTACCATTTTGGTTTCTCCTTCAAATGTTAGTAGTTGTGGCAAACGATACCCAGGAAGCCAGAAAAGGGCAACACACATGTGGAGTTCCGGATCCCTCATTCTACCTTCTACACAGGGAGTCAGGTGTATTTGCCACGATGCTGTGGTAAAGCAACGGACATGTGTAAACAGCATTCGAGAGGCCATGGAGGAACAAAACAACAACAACCTAGAAAGTATCAAACAAATTAAAAGCAAACATTCTGTATCTACATATAAAGTGCTAAATCCAAAGAAATTCATCTCTCATACACCGGCTTCAAAACCTGCAACAGTAACATCTGAAACCATAGAAGAAAAACACAACCTATAGTACTCCAGCTCCTAAACCCATTGTGGAAACTAAACAAACAGAAAACATTAATAAAGAAAACAACTCTGAGGACTGATGATAACACATTACCTTTAACTTTATGGGAGACGCTTGACATAACCAACGATGATATGGAGGGAAGGATTTTCACCTTTCTCTGTAGAAACTCATGATGAATTCATTGAAAGTCTTCTTAACACTCCGAAATCAATCTGAACAACTTCCTCAACCAAAATCACCTGAAAAAGAACAACTTCCCGTACATATTTTCTAATGCCAATTGACAAGATGAGACCAAAAATAACTATGTTACAACATTGGCAGAACGATATGATCACATTATGTGTATGTGGTAAATGTTTCGATACAACCACCAAAATCCACTTTGAATGAAGGAGCCCACTTCCCTTATATCTATACCGTGCGGATTGTACTCCATTTACAAGAATCCAAGGTGATCATTGACAGGGACCCTTCACACTTCAAGTTCATATTAAATTACTTACGATATGATTGTAGGATGCCAATTGGATGCTTACCAATGATAAACAAGTTCTTCATGAATTAAAGGAAGAGGCAGAATTTTACATTTTACCAAAACTAGTCAAAGCAATTGATGAAAAAATTACCTCATTAAAGAAGTAAATATGAACTTAAGTGAGTTGTGACTTGAGAAAAGTAAATACATAACATGTATGCTCTGTATTAAAAGAGGATAAGTATGTGGAAATGAATTATAGAAATTTTATACTTATTTGTTAAAATATCTATATATATAGAAAGAGAAATATATACCGGTATACTGTAATACTATGTAAAAAAAAAATGAACGAATTATTAAACTAGAACTGTTATAAGAATCACATATGCAATTGCTTATTTATTGTAGTCCTACAGGTTATCATAATGATATCTTATTAAAAAGAACCAGAGAAACCAGGCCGGTTTTTAACTCCTATGTTATCAGTAATAAATAGAACCACTATAGATAACTGAATAAAAACTGATGTGTAGTTTACCAAGAAACCACATAACGAAAAAGAACCAAAGACAATTAGTCTTGTATCTAACAAATGACATGTGAAATTGTCATTAGAATTATATCGAACACGTAAAAACTGTTTTATCACAAAAAGTGATAATAAATAGAATCATGGCATGCAAAAAATCCCGCTACTTGTTGCGTATCAACCCTTTACATTGAGAAACAACAAGATGACCCCCTTTTCCCTTCCCTACTGAGTTATAGAGTTAGGTGTACTTACTTCCCGTCCCTGTGCACCACATCAGGGTGTGACATAATCCCATGGCTAAAATGCCTTGACTTTATCCCATGGCAAGTGATTCAATTGCCTTGACTTTACTTGGAGGTATAAGACAAATCCCTAGTGAAAAGAAAACAAAATAGTAAAAGTAACCACTAGAAATGGAAAAATGTGTTTAAAAAGAAAAGACAAAATATGACAGAAGAAGACGGTCCTTAGGGTACTTTATTATTTATAATTATTAAAGGATTATAATATCCTATAGAGTGAGCAAAGTTCTCACATATAGTGGGTATACTTTTAGGGGGGATACCCGTAAATGATGATCATCTTATTATATAACTGTGTATACACATAGTGTGCCAGATAAACAATACCAGTTTATCTGAATTGAATCATTATGACTTAGAATGTGCAGCATTTGCACTGCCATTGATAGTTACGGCCGAGATATAAATTAGAAATAATTGAGAAATTACCTTGACTAGAGATTGTTGGACTCTATGAAAACCTCCGAGTACCAGCAAATATTTAACACCATAATTACATCTATGTCCTATAAAAGAAAATACAAAATGTACATTATTAAGTATGAATGTAGTCCTAGCTAGGCAAAGTATGAATGTGATGATGCTTGAATAAATTAAAATATCCCATAGCTATATGAATTCAAATGACTGATATAAGAGTATCTGAGATTTGTAAACATTCTAAAGAATGTATTGTAATGTAAATTACATCTAATCTATTAATATATTTATTGAATTGACAATTATTCTTGTAAGTAAATTTAATAACGAGTTATTTTATATAAGTTCATAAAAGTTTAGAATGTTGTTTATCTTAAGTTATTAGATTTTTCTAATTGATAAAAAAAAGACTTGTTAACTTCCTTGTGTTACAAATAAAAGATTCCAAGGGGAATTACTCGTGATTTCTTAATATAGGAAAATGTCGGAATTACCTCCCCTGTATAGACACGTGCGTTAAATTAGAGACTGATTATGTTAATTACAGATAACATTATAACAATGAGCCATCTCACATATTTATTTTGATACTTACCTCAAGCCTATTCAGGGACTGAATCCATCTGGTTGGGGTGCAATGTAACGACCAAGTACCTAGCTCATTGATATTGTCGGATAAGATGTTTTATCCGACTACTACAACACTACAAACATCGGAGATCTTTCCCGGTCTCCGAATAAATGACAACCAAGATTCCCTTCGTCAATCAATACCTTTTACATATGTTAATATACCCAATGCGCTATTATAGTCCAATTTCATTTTATATATCCATATCCTGTACGAAATTTTACTCCTGTAATTTTGCCTAAAATACACCTGTTTTTCTGTTAAAAATTACAGCTGTATTTTTCTTCAGTTTTGATAAACATATAGCAAATTACGCCCGTTTTTTTCAAAAAATACACCTGTTTTACACCTGTACTATGAACGAAATATGTAAATTAACCGTTTTTTTCTACGGGTCGAAAATACAGTTGTACTGTTTTACAGCTGTTTTAAAATACAGGTGTAAAATTTTACAGGTCTAAAAATACAGGTGTAAATTTTTTTTCAGCTCAAAAATACAGGTGTAAAATTTTACAGGTCAAAAATAAAATACAGGTGCCCTTATTGTTTAAGGGATGAAAACCACACATAAATGCAGACATATTTGGCATGTTTGGTGCAAATATCTTCTTCATTGGGATAAATACACTTTGATCAGAAATTTTGTGCATTTGTTGCTACTCAATCTTTAAAAATAAGAAATGGTTGAGGAGGAAATATCTTTTTACAAGATTTAGGTACAAATAGCAGACATTATACAATCACAATAGTTCACAATGGCACTCTGTGCTAAGGTGAGCGGAAATATTACTGAACTAGAATCACTATCACTAAAGATGGGGATTAATATAACAAATTTTCACTTTGTCTTAAATGGATTACTATACTCTTTGCTGGTATTCTCGCGTTAAATCTATTCTCGCGTTATTTTTATTTTTCACGAGGTTGAATCACAGCGCCACCTATAGTAAATATTTGTGACCTACTTTTATTCAGCAGTGTTTTGAGTAACATTTTACAGTAATGAACCGACTAAAGGTAAGTAAATCACAAATTTTACCTTGTAAATGCAAAACTTTAACTAAATCATTCACAAAAATGTCTATTCTTTGGTAACTTTCCTCCATTTTAAGATTGACATCTTCCGTCTGCTGACAGGACTCCATTTGTTGTTGTTGTTGTAGCCTAAAACTTCAAAACCTATACCATACCATAGATTTTTTTTTTTTCAGGGGTCCCAAAGCAGGCTTAAGCAGCCATATGACAAGGAAAGCCTTAAGAGAGCCTATGCAGCTTGTGTTTCAAATGGCATGTCTGTTTATCGGGCATCTAGAGTGTACCATGTCCCGGAGTCTACTTTGAGAGACAGGACTAGACATAATGTCACCCTTGAGGCACGTCCTGGACCAGAGACTCTATTGTCTTCTCTGGAGGAGGACAAGCTAGCACAGCATATAAAGTATATGGCCAGTATCGGATATGGCTACACCATGACCAACATAAGATTTATGGCTGCTGACTATGCCAGGTCAATGGGGAAGAAAGTTGTTGCGAAGGATGGGTTTAAGTACTGTGTGGTACTATAGTTTCATGAAAAGAAACCCAGACTTGAAAGCTGTCAAGCCTCAAAAGCTTGATTTGGCCAGAGCTAAAGGTGCCTCTGAAGAAAAAATAAACAACTATTTCAAAAAACTGAAGAATATTCTAGATGACAATGACTTAATCAATTCACCTGAAAGAATCTATAATATAGATGAAACAGGAGTAAGCACCCAGCACTCACCACCTAAAATTGTTTGTGGGAAAAATGATAAACCTCAGGCAATTACCTCCCCAAGATCTTCCAATGTAACAATAATAGGAGGAGCAAATGCCCTTGGAAATCATGTGCCTCCTTTTTATATATTCCCTGGGAAAAGGTTTAATTCTCAGTTCATGGAAGGTGCTCAACCTGGTGCAGATGGTACAATGTCGGATAGTGGTTGGGTGAATGGTGAAATTTTTGAAGATTATGTCACGAGACATCTTGCGAAGCACTGTAACCTTGATTCTGTCTCTTCAGATAGACCAGCCACATTGATCCTGTATGATGGGCACAAAAGTCATTTATCGTTGACTTTGAATGAGTGGGCTAGACAGAGGAATGTGGTCCTCTTTGTACTTCCCCCACATACCAGTCATCTCACGCAACCACTGGATGTTGGTGTTTATGGCCCATTCAAAGCCTTCTACTACACTGAGTGTCAACAGTATTTGCAGCATAACCCGGGTGTATACATCACCAAATATGAAATTGCTTCACTAACTTCTAAGCCGTACTTGAAAGCTTTCTCTCCATCAAACATCACATCAGCTTTCAAAAAATCAGGAATATATCCATTTGATGAGTCTCAAATTTTCCAAGAGTGACACTGCACCTTCATCAATTTATTCCAGTGAAAATCATGATCAGTGCCAGGGACTGGATACACAAGTTGAATCAACCGAAAAGGCACCACAGCAACCAGAAGAGCCCTCTGACTCGCAAGAAACCATTTTGTATGATGAATCTGTCACTTTCTTTGCAAAGAGACAAATTAACACTGTCAAACAAAGACCTAAGAAAAAATTCATTCCACCATACATAATGGGAAATCTGTTAAATGAAAGAAATACACATATTCTGCAAAATCAAAGGAAGTCTAAGGGTGCCAAATCTGAGAAAACTGTTCAAAATAGACAAAAAAATCCCATACAAACACCGTCTAAGAAGCAGAGGAAGAGTAAGGAGCATGAAGAACCAGTTCCTAGCACATCTGGAACATCTAAGACAGGAGTACCTATTTCTTTGGACTCTCCATCACATATGTCAGACAGTGATACTGATATTGAGATAGAGGAGAGAGACAAATGTTGTGTCTGCAAGCTCTACACACCCACTCAACTCAAGCATTGTGTTAGTATTGTCTTCACAAAGTGGGCTCAGTGTAATTTTTTGCTCACATGGGTACATCTTAGATTTTGTACACCAATTACAGTAGTAAGAAGGGCTACTGTGTTCAGATGCCCACATTGTGTAACTGAAGAATAACTCATGTGACAGGAAATATTACAAATCAACTTACCTTGTGCTCAGACAAATTTGATTAAAGACATGTTTTTGCATTAATTATAAAGTCACACTTGTTGAAACTTTTAGTACAGTTATTGTTCAGTTAATTGCATTAGGTAGTTTATACATCTTTGACTTGCTGAAAGCCTACTGTATGGTATAGATTTTTACCGCGAGAATATAAATAACTTCTATTCAAAGGTCAAGGTCAGGGTACCTGTTTATAAAATGGCGGAAAATAAAATTGAAATGTTTTATATCGATTTTTTTCATGTAAATAAATCAATTATTGGTTAACTTGGATGAAGAAAAGGAAAGAACAACAAGGTAAATATTTTGTTTGTCATTATATGACTTTATTTCCTTAGTACCGCGAGAATACCTGCAAACAGGGTATATTTTATTACACTCTGTTACAGTCTTACACTACTGATACTGCATCAATAAAATCCAAGTCATGAATAACACTGCAGGCATATCCTTTCATTTGAAGAAAAATTCACAAATGCTTATAAAGTTTTTTTTCTTGTAGAAATTAATTTATTGCCAGTATTTGCCAAATTAATGTCTACATATATAGGTACTTGGAATAAAGCCTTTGCAAGTGTTTTCTCATCTTAACTGATCCCTGTCATTTTGATTTAAGATCCTGTTTAAAGCAGCTTCACCTGAATCAAATAAAACATCAATAGTTTATCATTAAATGAATACTAAATGATAATCATGTATTTACTTTCAATGCTTGCATTTTTGTACTAATGTCATCAATGCACATATTCAGTGCCTGACCAATTCATTTTTTTAAATACGTACCAATTAACTTCAACCTATATAATTATGTTTTGACAATTAATGAATACATGTATTAATTTTCCTACTTAATGCATTGCTTGATAAAAGATAGTTACTGAGCTGTTTCTATTAGTGGTAAACTGGTAACTTGACTTTAATAATTAAGGTGCAACATTTAAAGAGACTTATTTTGTTTAACCATGAATTTCTGTCAAAACTATTCTAATTAGTTCAACTACAATTTCGTTTTACCATGTCTGTTTTAGTCCTTTGCTTTGTTTCATGTAGATCAACGTCTCTGGGGGTGTACTGTGACCTTTAAGAACAAAGTTCATTGTTCATTATAAAAGATATGAAAATAAATTATGACCTATTAATTAGAAGTTAAGTATAAATGTATTTAATATCAGACTCTTCAAGATTGTATTCAAAAATATAAAGCAGTTAACAGTCAATATTGTAGTTTCTAATTAAATGCTATTGGTGACAAAATTTACAATTTAAAAATTATTTTCCAACTGGGTAAATAGAATGTAAAATATTATTTTTTTCAGAATAAAGTTGATAAAAATAATTGCAAATGACCTGAAATAATACTTGTTTTTTGCATAAATGTATCCAAAGGTTATTACCTGATTTTTTTTTATGATTCTGGTTTTCATCTCCTTGTCCAAGGTTCAAATTTCATTTGCAACCAGCATATCCCATAATCCAGAATATTGTCATTTTCATTAACAAGACTGTAGCCTTAAGTTGATTTTTTTCTTTGAAAAGTTAAAGAATTTACACCCAAACATTTTATACAAAATATTGCCTAGAAAATTGCTTATATCTCCACAATTTCTTAATTATCAATAAGATCCTTTGTGATACATGAGCACTATTTCCACACAATACCTCAGATTTCAAATTTTACAACTGTAGAACTGGACTGATTCATCATGCATAATGTTAAACAGGGATATTCCACAAATAAAAGCACCCATCATTTTACTTTCACAATCATATAGACATATGAGAAAAAAAGGTGTAATGTAGAATTTCAAATTCATAATAAGTTTTTAAAGATTACTTTGCAATATCCTTCTAAAGAGACTTCATTTAAAATCTATAAAGTTGTTTCCCCCCAGAAAAAAATCAAATGGAAGAGTCTGGACTGTAGCAGAATTTATGGTGGGAAAACAAGTGGTTACCATTATCAGACAGGTCAGTGCAAGGTGTAAAATCAGTCAGTTGTGTTAAATCATTGTAGAGTAGTAGAGGCAGTGTTTATTTATTTATCCTACTTAACAGGTCATTTGTATTACAAACTAGATTGAGAGAGCTTAATGTATGAGTTTATTTCATACACAATTAACTTTACAGAGTGAAGAATAACTCATAATGTCTGCAAATTTGGAGTCTTGAATAAGAACATGTACCAGTGTGTTGTTGTTGTAGTTTTTGTTGTTGTTCTTTTTATACTTAAAAGAACAACAAGGACAGGCCTATGTGAACTATCACTTATATTTTAAAACTTAATAATCATATACAATGTACATGTATATTCAAATTTAGATAGCACTCTTAGTTCAAAGTTGCTTACATTATGAATGTTAGAAATTAAATCCTAAGTGTAAATAATGTGCATGCAGATTGTACAATTGCATCAAAGATATAAAAGTATTTAAATAAGAACAATTTCTCTAAAAGATTTTCTAAGTGTGTATTGTACATCTGTATCATTGAAAATACAGTTGTAGTTTTGGACTTAGATTATTTTCAGCACAAAATATCAGCTCAATATTTTCTAAGTATCGGAATTACATGTGTACATCTAAAACACAGGTCTTGTCTAAAAAATACACCAGTAAAATTGTTAAAATACACCTGTATTTCTTAGTCAAAATGATAAATTCAGCAAACACAGGTCCCTAAGACCTGTATTTTTACAAAACAGGTGTTTTTCAGTCGTCTTACAGTTGTAAAACAGGAGTTTTTTTCATACGGGAAAATACGTAAGAAACACGTTTAATTATCAATTACTTTCCCGGCTGCAGCCATTCCGAATTAAACGGACTTTACCGTTCGCACATGTTCAAGTTCAGCCGTTCCGAATGTAACGGACTTTATCGTTCACGCTTGTCCGAAACAGCAATCTCCTACGCAGTGATCTCCCCTTATCAGTACAGAGATCTCTGCCATCACAAACATTGAAATATCCAAATTTGGATATTTATATTTTTTAGCTTTTTAATTTATTTTTCATTATTTTGTGTACTTTTGATAATTTTTTGTTAAAATATAACGGACGTAGGTACAAAAAGTTAAAAATAAAACAGAAAGAGAAAAATGACGTCAGATTTTCTATGTAACGGTCGATATTTACATTTGAATGTAACGTTACGTCATGTGACTTTCATCATCATGTGACGTCTGTGAAGGCAGTGATTACAATTCTGCCAAGGGAGGTAATCAGTGTGAGGAGTTTGCCGAAACAGAGCCGGCTTGGGCTAAATTCTGGCACTGACGTCATCGGCTATATGACGTAGATGCCTGACCCCTGATACTATAAATACTCTGGCGCATGCAATCCGGCTGTCAGTGCCTGGATAGAAATTTGGATAGTAACCAAAGCCGATTTCTACCTTGGAAAATGCCAGCAACTCCTTATTCCAAGGTAATATAATTATTTATGACAGTTTTATTGTGCCTAGATTATTA